GTAGCTTTGCGCGAAATTCAAAACAAACAAACAAACAAACTGACAAAAACATATATGCGAACACAATACAAACAGAATAGAAAGATAATTTATTTTGACTTAAAGTTGCTATGCAGCGTAAATAGCCATCAAATGTATGATATTTTTTTTTTTTTCAAATTTCGTTTAAAACTACACAAGGTCTATCCGTGCGAGCCTGACCATAATTTGGAACTGACAGACTAGAGGAAAGGCAGCTGTTAACCGCACACACACACCACTAACTTTTAGGCTACTCTTGTCTGACCAAGTAGTGGGATTTGACCGTCATATATTATATATATATATTATAGCGCACTCACAGATATAAAACACAAAGAGAGTTTTTGAGTCAGCGAGACACCAACTATGATTCCTAAGATTCATCTGTGTACTTTAACCACTAGGCCACTCATGGTCTCAGGTTGTTGACTCTAGGTGAATTGATTAACATTTAATTCAGGATGCATCTTGTGTATCCACAAATTTTATTTAGTGCGGAGTATTTCTTTACTATCCGCATTCCCCAAGATGTTAAAGTGTTTTGAAGCGACATTTATGTCACAGTTCTATAAACAGCGCCTAAGGATGGACGACTGACTATATGCCGTGTTTTGCGCATGCTCTTTAGTTAATACGTGAGCTCAGACAACGTATTGTAGAGCTCACATAGCCAAGGTTACACCTTGGACATGTAAATTTATATATGACGAAGAGCGATGCGTTATAGGACTCCTGTCTTTAGATTAATATAATTACTTAAATGAAACATCGATTTAAAGACAATTCTATATTTGATATGTGGGTAAATTTTATTATTCAAAATATATTTAATTTTCTTCCTTAATTCTTTAGGATGATTACCAGTAAATGGTGAATTGTATTCATTGGAAAGGCTAGACGGTATTACTATCACTTGTGGCATATAATGGGCTAAAGAAGACCAAATTTTACTTTCACGTTGTAAAAAACCGGGCAAGGTCTATTGACTAACGTGGTGAGCTACGTAAGGAATGGACCAGGGTTCGAGACATGACTTTTCTTTCAACAATAATATTTATGACCTTCGAAAATTACTATTTTAAAAGGACTCGGAAAGATTGAGAAAAGTATTGTTTATTTGAAACATCTTGGGATATGTTTTGAAACGCTCCCTTGCAGCTCCAAGTTTGTTTGTTTGTTATTGCACTTTCAGTTTTGGGATCGTTACAATAGAGACAGTCAATCCCGTTTTTCGGTACAAAGAGCTAAACAAAGCCCCTATGGCGGGGAGTACTTCTAGCTGGCTGCTCTTCTGATCAGCAGCTTAAAATATGGACGGCTATATCAGAATCCTAAGGGATCTCTGACGTTGCTGTTTAACACACGAGTACGATGAATTGACCCATTAAAATATTTCTGCAACAAAATAAATAGGATATTATTTTTAAAAGGGAATTTTAAAGAAATCTTAATTTTTCTTTTATCTTTAGCTTAGCTAATTATTACATATTTCTCGATTTATAGTGAAGTTACACCAAGTTATTATTCTGTATAACTAAAGATTTCTTTGAGTGAGCCACAGATTATGTAATGGAATAAGCTGAAACTTTTAGAAACGTGTGCGTTTTACGTAGAATAATATGTAAACGATTACATCAAGATTGTTAAGGTTGAAAATCAGTATAGTAAAAAACAATGTGTTTTCTCACGATGTTTTATAACTAGATAAAATTACTTATATCTATATGTAAGTATTTTACAGAATTGAGAAAAAACAAGACAATTGTACGTTTCAATATCGCAATGCCTTTAATGGCGAAACCACGGTCGTGAATAAATGATGTTTTTGTAAAACGTACAATAGCCTTGTCTTTCCTCAATTCATTAATTATGGAGTTTCACCAAGTACCGACGGTTTCAAGTATCAATTATATATGTAAGTATTTTTCTTCTTTTAGAAGCAAGAAGGCAGGAATAAAAATTATCAAACAATTTGCGTTCGTCTTCAAGAAAATATATGATGCGGTTTTAACAGTTGGGTTCTTATCATTAATTTCAAACTTGGTTGCAGTTGTTTATGGGGATTTTGATGTTCTACTATCATAATTTAAATTTCGTAATTAACAAACAAGTTGGAATAAACTTTTGAGAAACATTCAATAATAGTACTTGTGTTCTAATCAACGTTTTGCAGAACGGCTATAGACGACCTTTACATTGAAACAAGAGGCATTTCAAGAGACGAAGCAGTGAAAGATGAACGATGTAGGAGAATTATAATCGTCATAATCTGGTTTAGCAGTTCATTAACTTTAGCTCTAGTAATCCCTAACATCGGGATTCTGATCGAATTCGTAGGGAGCCTAGCAGCAATTTTCATCTTTGTTTTCCCTGGTAGGTAATGCTGGTAGATTATTACTTCTTACTGCTCTAACATTACTTTGGCTTTTATTTACATACATCTTGGTGCCTATGATTAAAACATGCTGGTGTAACAAAAGATAGATGGTTGCAATTAATGAAAGTTTTCTAAATTTTGTCTGTCATTTTTCCAACCACACTGAAAACAGACAGATGCGAGTTCGTTTACGATTAAATCTTTATGTAATAAATGTTTATTAATCATATAAATGAATATAAGCAGTAGCAAAATTTATTGTTTGTTTGTAATTAAGCACAAGGCTACACAATGGGCTATCTATGCTCTGCCCACCACGGGTATCGAAATCCGGATTCTAGCGTTGTAAGTCCGCAGACATATTGCTGTGCCACTGGGGGGGGGGGGGCAGCAAAATTTATGACGATGATAATGATATATATAAAATAAGGTTACGAAATACATTTAAAATTACTGGTAATTAAAAATCTTATAGTACTTGTTTACTCGTTAAATGTTTAACAATATTCTCAGCAAGTAATGGAAACACTGGGGCTTCTGTTAAAACACTGAATATAAATATTTTTTGTTTATTCTTGAATATCGCCTATCGAACAAATCGAGTTTCTTTACTCTGTCTCGAAAATTTTTGTTTAATTGTGTGGGTGTGGTAAAAAAATATAATTACCGTACTACTGCTCATGCTAATAAAACAAAAAGACATGGCATTTTCGTTCCTTATCAAGTATTAGGTCATGGTATCCTTACATATAGTATAACGAAATGAAATGAGCATTATATTGTAGCCTAGTGTCTCGTGATGCCTGAAAGAGGCATTAGAGTTACCAACTCTCCTGGCCAATAGGAATTTTTTTGTATAACCGTTTCCAAGGTAACCGTATTTCATGAAGAATCAAATGTTGTTAATTGGTTGTAAGTCTCAGATTACGCTTGACCTTGAAAATTTTTCTTTGTTAGATGTACCAGAATATTTTCTGCAGTAAGACTGTATATTTTGATACTTTCTGCTTTCAGGATATGTTTTGAAATCATTTTGTTATGCTATAGGTAGAGGTATTTTGAAATAGGGAGTCCATTTGGCACGGCCGCTGGTATCGGCATAACCACAAATGACCCCCCCCCCGCCTAAAAACTAAATGGTCCCCTACATTTATTCCCCTTGTCGGTCCTCTTTTGGCTCGGGACTCCACAATTTCTGGGCTGCGGGGGCATTCTAACACCACTCATTCGCTGGTCGTTTGCGCTTTTGTATTACAAGTGGCCACTCATTCTGCCCAAATTGGAAATTTTAATAACTTCAGAATGGTAGTTACTGGAACAATGGCACGTATTCTTAACACTTACTTCCAAACCCTTAGTAAACGTAGTATGAAAAGATAACATTATTTACGTTTATATATTTGTAGAATATGGTAATACACCTGCGTTCTTTAATTAGTTTTGTTCTAGTTATAAAAAAAATATTTAAGAAGATAACCAAAGGACTTACATACTTTAGTTTCTAATTATTGATGCAAACCGCCTAATTGTAAAAGAGGGTTAATTGTTTACTTTATCAAAAGGGTTGTCTAAGTTAGTTTTGAGTCTGATTCTCGTGACTCATCTTTATAATCGTTTAATGAATATTTTTGTTGTATGCGTGTGTGTTTTTATAGCACTCTATGTTAGACCTATTCATTCTTTGATTTTTTTAAAGCAAAAATAGGGAACTTTTGAATATAAAATTTGAAGTCTTACCTATATGCCTTTTTTGAAAAATAGAGGTCTTTAACTACACGTGTAAAATTCATGTAGTAGCTGTATCCTTGATTTTTTTCGTCATTTTTCATGAAGTTTCAACAAATATGTTCTGTTCTTTCCAGGATTGTGCCTTTTAAAGGTAACACTAAAGAAGAACCCAGATCTTGCTGGTTTCAAGGACAAGTTTCTAGTATTATGGTCAACATTTTTTCTGACCATTGGAACATTTATATTCTTCTTGGTGTTAACACAGGCTTTGATTAAAGACATCTCTGGCAAGTCTATAGCAGGGAAACCCAACCCGTGTCGATAGTAATTTTGCCGAATTATACAACGTGTTTGTTTTGAAGTTCATCGTCACTTGTTGGCAAATTTAGTGTTACACATTTATTTCTAAATTTTTTATGACTTGGTGAAACCTAATTAACATTAACAGTCCACTGGCTATAGAAAAAAGATCACCAAAGTAAAAAAGTTGAACTGTTGTTGTTGTTGTTTATTATTAAGCACAAAGCTACACAAAGGGCTATCTGTACTCTGCCACCACGGGTATCGAAATCCGGTTCTAGCAGTGTAATTCCGAAGACATTCCGCTGTGCCACTGGGGGGGGGGGGGGGGAATTGGAATTGCAAAGC